ATCCCCTCCCATCCCCGGCTCTCCCCTCGCCTTCTTTCCTGCTTCTGAGGCATAGTCCCACTGAGCTAACTCCCTGGCTCTTCCTTAGTTAATTCCTATGTATTTTAATTTTTTTGGTGTTATTGTGAATGATTTTTTTTTCAAATTTCTAATTCAGTGGATTGGAACACTATTGATTTAGGGTGTTGATTTTGCATCCTGCTACATTACTAAATTTATTTATTGATTCTAAGAGGCTTTTGGTGGATTTTTGGGGTATGCTATGTAGAGGATCATGTCATCTGCAAATAATGATAATTCGATTTCTTCCTTTCTTTACCGTAAGGTCCTCATTGTAGCATGTCAGGATTTTTCCTTCCTTTTTATGGGTATATAATATTCTCTTGGGTAAATATACCATATTGTGCTTATCTGATCATTTTTGATGGACATTTGGGATTTTCTACATTTTGGTTTTTCTCCTCCTTCCTCCTCCTCCTGTTCCTCCTTCTCCTCCTTCTTCTTCGTCAGTTTTTTTGTTCTGTTTTTTGAAACAAATAGTGTCACTAATTAGTTCCAGCTGGTTTTGAACTTATTTTGTTGCCCATGCTGGCCTTGGACTCACAGAGATCCTCCTGCCTCAGCCTACCAAATGCTGGGTTTACAGGTGTGTGCCACAATACCTGGCTAAAATTTTATAGTTTGGTTCTTGGGAATAATGCTACTGTAGATGTGGTTGTATAAATATGTCATTGAAACCCTGCTTTCATTTCTTTTGGAAATGTAATCAGAAGTGGGATCACTGGATTGTATGGTGATTCCATATTTAATTGTATCTGGAGCTGTCATACTGCTCTACTGTTTTGCATTTCCACCAGCAATGTGCGGGTTATGTTTCCACATCCTCTTCCTCCATGGTCATTTTCTGATTTTTTTTTTTTCCTTTTGTACTGGGGATTGGACTCGGGCCCTTGTACTTTCGAGGCAGGTGCCAGAATCACATAGCTAAATCCCTGGCCCCTGATTTGTTTTTATAATGGCCATCCTAATAGGTGTGAAGTGGTACTATTTCTTAAATATTTCCTTATTATATATAGTGACTTTAATTGCAATTTTTTTTGTTCTTGTTGTTTTTGGGCAGTATTGGAGATTGAACTCAGAACCCTGTGCTTGCAAGGCAGACACTGCACCATTGAGCTAAATCCCTGTCCCTTTAAAATTTTAATGTCTTTACAAAGTGGATGTAGAAGAGGAGATTTTATGAAGCAGAGAGATCACACGGTTCTAAGATGTGCAAAGTAATGGCTGAGTTGGTCATGGTATCACACACCTCTAGTCCCAGCCACACAGGAGTCTAAGGAAGAGGATCATTGAGGCTCAGGACTTCAAGACCAGCCTGGGCAACTCAGTAGGCCCCTATCAGAAGAAACAAAACAAAACAAGAGGAGATGAACAGTTACACTGCCCTTACATTTATTAAATGTTTTGTGGTTTACAAGGAACTTTAACCAAAATATCATTATTTCTCACCGTAAAACTATGCAGAAATACAGTTATATTATTTTGTTTTCCCCCTTTTTTTGGTACCAGGGATCGAATTTGGGACCTTGCGCTTGCGAGGCAGGCGGCAGAACCACTGAGTTAAATCCCTGGCCCTACAGTTATATTAATTAGCCTCACTTATGAGGTCAGGAAGGTGAGACTCAGAAATTTTAAGCAACTCTTTATCACAAGCAGCTTATAGAAGAATGAAGGGTAGTGGGATGAACCAACAGTCATGTTTCTCGGTCTCCATCCTAGCGGGGGAAGCTGTGTGTTCAGAGTTCACACCATGCTCCTCTGCCACACCACAGGGCTCTGAAGAGGGGACAGCTGGAGGTGCCCGTTTTGGTGTAGTTTCACAGTGCAAATTAATCGTGTAGGAGAGAGATCTGTATTATCGTTTCTAGTTCCTCTACTGAGTTAACCATTTTGTTGACAGCAAGATGTTTGCTTTTCCTTTGTTACTGTTGCCCTAGGTTTGGGCGGAAAAGAACTCCTCCCCCAGTAGCACAGTGTGCGCGGCGTGCACACACGCACACACACTCTGTGAGCGCGCAGATGCACCTGTGCCTCAGACACAGCCGTTTGCATCTGCCGTATCTCTCCCCCGATCTGCCTCGTACACACACTTCATGCACACATAGACTCACCCCTTCCTTCCTGCTTCTGAACGAGCGTGAGTCATTCTGATTCTAAGGCCACTGCTGTGTTCACTTTGACTCGGTTATTAAGCTTGGGTGTTGGGGCTCCATGAAGCAATCTGGAAAACTTCTAGTTTAAATGAAATCATATCATGAGAATGTGGTTTCATTTTCTATTTATTTTAAGTATTGTGAGTGCTTAGATGATTTGGTACAGCTATGTTACAATATGGACAAAATCTAAGTGGTTTCTGGAGGAGTCTTCCTGATTTGCCTTATAGCTTCTCCTCATTCACCATAGCAGTGAAAGTTGACTCAGGACCAGGGGAAGTAGACAGCCCTGCCTGCAGGTTCAGGGTGTGCCCCTGAGTCACAGGAGAGAAGCAGCGAGTACCAACTTGCACCGCTAATCCCAGGCCCCAGAATCCTGGTCCCTGCTGTATGCCCTGCGTGTAGGATTTCCTACTTGTGCTTCATGAGAACCACCTTCCACAAGGTTTTCATGTCTCGATTAGTACGAGTCATTTGGTAAAATTTGGATGGCAAGCCTGGAAAACATAGAGGAAAAACGGTCGCAGGCTTCAATCCCAGGAAGTCTAGTTTTTATTCTGGTTTTGTTTTCTCTTTTCAGCTCCTGTGCACCGTAGAGCTAGGGCAGCTAGAGGGAGAAGCAAGAGTAGAGACCGAGTCTCTCAGGACATCAAGGAGTTCCTTCCTTCCGCCTTGGCCCACAAGTCGGGCTCTCCCAGTCCAGACGGCAGTGGCGGCAGAGCCTCCTTGGAGGATGAGCCTTTTGGTGACCTCATCCACAAGTTTGAGTTTCTGGAGAGTCAGGATCGCACGCAGCCTTCCTCAGTCTCATCTAAGGCCACTGGTCTTGGAGGACCAGGTCAAGTGGGAACGAGCCAGAGATTCTTAGAGAATGGCCCTCCAGATGGCCTCTTTCCTAGCAATCAGAGTCATCTTGCCTCTTTTTCAACACCAGTCTCTAACCAGAAGGGCACTCCATCCTGGCTGAACGCTCAAGGCACTGGGAAGGAGAGTAAGTTTTTTCCGAGTCAAGCTGTCCCTAGTTTTCCTCTTGATTCTATACAAACACCAAAAGCCTTAACCTCCAGAAAGGCGGTGGGAATGCTTTCATCAGACCACGGCAGTGCCAAGGACAAGACTCAAGACATCCAGCGAATCCCTATTTTCAACAGGAATACTGATGGATTGGCCATGAACATGAATTTTGGAAAGACAGCCCAGAGAGAACTAGCACTACCAAGTTATCAGGAGAGCAGAACCACTCCCCGGGACCTCCAGATTGGCAACATTACTAGTGATGATGCCAGAGTGGCATTTCTGAATGGTAAATACAGAGGAAAAAACTTTTGAGCTTGTAAATCTGTCTACAACACACCAGATGGCTTTGGTCATACGGATGAAACTTGTCGTGTGGATAATGCTACTAGTTTTGGTTTAAAAACAACAGTCATGGATGGGCGATGCATTCTGTTCTGGAAGTCAGAATGTGAGAAGCCAGGTCCCAGCCACTGCTGGGGAAACCTCAGTCCCTGCACAAGTCCACAGGCTGCCTCAGTCTCTTCCTTCCTCGGGCAACAGGGCTGGAGCCATGAGAGTGAGAGTCAGAACTCGGCCACTGTGCTCTCGAGCAGGTCCCCGACCCCACTGAGTGTAGGACCCTCCATAAAGGGGACGGCCATGTCTCCACCTGACAGAAGAGTGGCATGGCGAGCAGCTCTTCCTTTAGGGGTGGGGTAGGAGGTTTGGTTAGCACTAGTAAGTGAGGAAGACAGGGAGGCCTGCTGGGAGGACCACATGCAGTGAGTGCTAACTTACTGAGAACCGAAATAGGCTATATTTTTTTTTTCTAAATTACGCTCTAGTTTAAGGAATAAATATACCTTGCATGTGGCCCGACTGTCCCTGTTTTTGTTTGTTTGTTTTTTTGTTTTTTTTTGGTTTTTCGAGATAGGGTCTCACTATGTAGTTGAGTCTGACCTGGAACTCACTATGTAGCCCAGGCTGGTCTCGAACTCCCAGCAATCCTCCTGCCTCAGCCTCCCGAGTGCTGGGATTACAGGTGTGCACCTCCACGCCCGGCTATCTGTCCCTGTCTTATTTTATGGAGGGGTTCTCTGGGCTTTCAGGGACAAGGCATGAATCCTAGGAGTTTTCTTGAATTTTAATATTCCTCCCTGTTATGGGACCATTAGTTTTCATTTTTTATTTAAATGTGAAGATCAGCGTACATGCATCCTTTTTTGTTTTATAGATTCCACATCTGATATTGCAAGTACCACATCTAGGATGGGTAATCTTGGCCTAGAGGAAATTTGTATCGATTATCTGAGTAACTGTTGTCAACCTAACAGTGAGTAGTATAAACTTTCTATGAGCCTCTCCCTTTTGGTCACTGAATAATGCTGCCGTGAACATAGGCATGGCAGTATATGCTCAGTGTTTACTTTCATGTATTTTGGGTAAATAAAGGGCTGTCATTTTCTGTATTGGCTGGACTGCTTCTTATTCTCACTGGCAAAGTGGGAAGGTTCCCATCAGCACGCGTTCTTCCCTCTCTCACCTCCCTCCCCTCTGCTCCCATTTCTTCCCCTCCATTTTAATAGGGTATGGGGCGTGGACTATGATGAGTGCTTCCATCCTTCCGACCCGCTAAGTCTCGAGGAGTGTACATTCTGTGGGTTTCCCTGTGATGTCTTTTGGTTTTAAAGTAGCTGCACGTCTTTGGAACATTTAAAAAACAATTTAAATAAACTTGAAAAGCAGAGCTGTTTTCGGCTTTCTTGAATTATGGGCTTGTAAGACTGATTCCTTATCCAGCAAACATTCACTTAATGACTGTGTTTAGTGTGCCGAGCCCCGTGCCAGTTGTGCAAGGGAATGTAAGCTAAACAATAAAGCAGAGTTTTCTTTAGTGTTTGTAATTAAGGTAGGACATCAAGACCCCCACAAAAAACTGCATAACATAAGTAAATATCACATATAATATGATGCATAATACATAATATTATGCATACTATGATACATAATATCAAGACCAAACTAGTTTTGAATGCTGGCTTAGGGAATACAGAATACAGGTCAGAGGAGAATAGAGGGAGATTAGTAGGGTGAATCACTTTGGAGGAGATGAATTTTAGACCTGGATTTCAAAAAGATGTAAGTGGTTGCCTGTGCTGGAGAGCACTCTGTCTTACTGTACTCCCGTGGGGATGGGGAGGGTGCACAAAGCCTAGCTATATGTTTAGAAATAGCACGGATTTCCATGTGGGCAGTGACTGTAGGGAGTGGGGAGTTTCTGTTTCCTGATTCGCTTCTGTGGCTAATAAAGCATCCTGAGTGGTGAGCATGGGGCACAGCTAGGAGGAAGCAGCACGAGCCAAGGTAGAGCGGGAGGCACCTGGCAGGGTGGGGAAGGCAGCCCTGGTGGAGAAAATCCACAGCGGACTTGGTCGAATGGGTCAGAATCCCCCAAATGGCCCTGCAGATCTTCCTTCTGTCTTCATAGGCAACTGCAGCAAAATCCACTTCCCGCTGCCCTACCGGTGGCAGCTGTTGACGTTGCACACCTGGAAGGACTTCAAGGACATGGAGAAGATTGAGGAGGCCTACTGTAACCCCAGGAACCACGTGTGAGTTGGTAACTGTGCTCTGGGTTACGAGATCCATGTCATCAGAAGAAAGCATAGCGTTAGGCTTATGGGGCCGCCACCTGGCTGCCTCTAGGGATTCTGCAAATATTGGCTAACTCTAGATTAGCAGTGGCATGATTGTTTAGTTGCTCTCTGTCAGTGAGTCACACAGAAAAGCACAGTGCAAGGTCACTTCATGGTCTTCTGAACTCATCACAGAACCTTAAAAACACTGAAGGATTTAGAACAAATGAGCCTTTGGCTTAATTTAGTAATTGTTAAATAGGATTTGAGCAATTTCATCAAGTTCTAGTGCAGAAATTTGTTGTGTGTGTTAGCATTTCTACTTTCCTTATGCTGGCTCTGTATTTTGGAAGTGTCTAAGAGGATACTTTACATTTCCGCTCCTTTGGGGGAAACAGTGATACTTGCCTGACCATATTTACTTATACGATGTGCAAGAATATGGGATGCATCTTCATTTTACAAGGAAATTCTGTGTGGCGGTGGGAGGGTGAAATTTGGGTACTATTCATCCTATGTAGATTTTAGCAAACTGTAATGTAGATTGTGTGTTGCTGCATTCTGTCAGTAGAGGGCAGTATCAGCTGTTCTCTCATTTCTAGGTTCCATGACCCCCTCCCACTCCCCCACCTGGTAAATACAGAATACAGTAGTTTCTCAACTTGGAAACTCTGTGTTGACCTTTGGGGCCAGATAATTACTTGCTGTGGGGGACTGGTTGGTGGAATTCTAGGCCTCTTATCCTCGATTCCAGTAAGTACAACCCTCCCTATCCTGCCCCCAGTTGCCCTTGGATATTGTCATATGTTCCCAGGAGTCAAAATCAGCCTGATAGACTCTGATCCAAGATATCTTACTTAGAGCAGTAATCCTCAAACGTTCTTGCCTTGGGAGCCCTCAACCCTCTTTTTGCAGAACCAGGGTTTGAACTCAGGACCTTGTGCTTTGCAGGTAGGTGTGGTACCACTGAGCTACATCCCTGGCCTAATGCTCCTAAAATATACTGAGCATCTCAAAGACTTCCTGTTTCTGTGAATTGTAGATAGGAGGATTTATCATATTAATAATTAGAGCTGAAGGCCAGGGAATTGGCTCGGTGGCCCTGCACGTACCTTGCAAGTGCAAGGTCCTGAGGTTGATCCCCAGCTCTGAAAGAAAGAAAAATTAAAGCTGAAAAAAATTAAATATTTAAGGATCCACTTAAAGTGAACAACAAATTCATTACATGTTAACATAAATAACATTACTATGTAACTGTGTATATAATTATATACCTGCATGTAGATAACTGTAACAGTGACTGTTCTCCAAAACAAAAGGAGCTATGGAAAAGTGTGTCATAGGTTTATATATTTGGACATCTCTTTAATATCTGCCTTAATGGGAGGTGAGTGGTTCTTTATTCAATCTATTGTTAAATTGTATTTTGTACAGCTTCCAGAAAGCTTATGCAGTAATAACAGTAAGAAAAAAGGCAATTAACGGCTTAACATTGTTATGAAAATGACTTTGACCTGCCAGTTCTCTCAAAGAGCCTGGGACTACACTTTGGTCACTAGTCAAATCATAGTACATAATTTAGGGCTAGGGATGTAGATCAGTGGCCCTGTGCCTGCCCGGCAAGTGCAAGGTCCTGAGTTCAATTCCTGGTACTAAATAAATAAATAAAAATAAAAGAATTGTAAAAAAACGCGACCTAATGTGAGCTTCTAACTTGCTTTCTAACATTGAGCCAATCAGATGTTTTGTGGACAGTTTTATTTGGGGATGTATTTTGACGAAACGATGCACACGCTTAGCTATGTGATGTAGGCAAGTTCCCTTACCTCTCTGCATTTCCATTTTCCTTTTATGTGTAACACCTGGAGCTGCAGGAAGAAAAGTTAAGACTTGATTTCCAGCACCAAAAACGAAGGAAAGAAAACTGAAAAATTATTGTCAGTCCTAAAATATTAATTCTGCATAGTTAGGGACAAGTAGACTGTAGAAAGTGGATGTCAGTGAAGGATCTGGTTACTTTTGTACTTTCTCTCTCGCAGCCTTTCCATGGAAAATCATACACTCGATTTCCAGAAAATGACTTATGCTCTTCAGCCCATTCGACGCATCTCCTCCTCTTCGTCTTGCAAGAGCCAGGCCAGTTCTGTCTTCACCACCAGATGGATTTGGTATTGGAAGAATGAGTCCGGAGAATGGGTTCAATATGGGAAAGGGGTGAGTACCGTTCTTCCTAGTGGGAGGCTCTTCATCAAACTTGACAATTTAAGAAGAAAAACCTTTTAATAAAATATTGGCATTTTTCAGCAACCGTAGTCTCCAGTTGTAATTAGAAACCAAAACTTTTACTGGTCCTGGGGATTGAGCCCAAGTCCTATGCATTAAGTTACATTGCCACCCCTTATGGAATCTTTTATTTTGAGACGGGATCTTGCTAAGTTTCCAGGCTAGGCTCAAATTTGCAATCCCTGTGTCTCAACCTCCCAGAATGCTGAGATTATAGGTGTGTGTGCTGCCCTGTTCTGTTTGCTAATTATTATTATTTATTTATTTATTTATTTATTTTTGGTACCGGGTATCAAACTTGGGACCTGGTGCTTGTGAGGCAGGCAGCAGAACCACTGAGCTAAATCCCTGGCCCACTAATAATTTTTTTTTTTTTTTGGTACCAGATATTGAACTCAGGACCCCGGCTGGGCTTCCTAGGCAGGCGGTGCTGCTACTGAGCTAAATCCCTGGCTCGTTACTATTTATTTATTTATTTCGTAATGGGGATCGAACTCAGGTCTTTGCGCTTGCAAGGCAGGCGGCGGAACCACTGAGCTAAATCCCCAGCCTCCATCTTACTATTATTTTTAAGGAACCCTTTAGACATGAGTTAGCTATGTGGCTCTCTTTCCTCACTATCAGGGATAGGGCAGAACCTTGAGATAGCTGTGTGTTGAGCCAAGTGTGATGGTGCTTACCAGTAATCCCAGCACTTGGGAGACTTAGGCAGGAGGAAGTCAGTGTGTTCAAGGGAAGACTGGGTTACATAGGGAGTTCGAGGCCAGTCTGAATTACATAGCGAGACCCTGTATCAACCTGCTGTTAAAAAAAAAGAAAAAAAAGAAAAACACAGAGATTTGAGCCTGTCCCTGAGTCAAAATTCTCAATATCCATAACCTACAGAAGAGGTTTATTTTAGCTCCTAGTTTCAGAGGGTTCTGTCCATGGTTGGCTGACTCCAAGCAGAAATGGAAAGGTAGAAGGCAGAAAGCTGCACAGCCCATGATGGCCAGAAGCAGAGAGAGAAGAGACAAGCCAAGGATGAGAACATACCCTTCCAGGTCACACCTCCAGTGACCACCTCCAACCAGGTGCCACCTCCTGACAGCACACTTGGCTATAAACAACTCGTTGATGGATGAATCCACCAGAGTATATATAGAGCACCTCTGTGAATAAGTCACCTTCCAAAAGTTCCACCTCTGGACACATGAGACTTTTGGGGGAACCATTTTAGATCTAAACTATCATAGCCAACAGAAGAGGGTGAGCGAGCAAAGTTAGACCAACAGGGAGGACAGGATGGTTGATGATACCAGAGGATGTGTACATTTGTTCAAACAATGAAACACATCTCATATGGGCGGTCACCAGTACTGAATCAGTTTGGATTTGAAGGACTGAGGTGGAAGATTTTAGGCTGACCCACAGTGGGGACTAGGAATAGGAGATAGAAGTTTAGAGAAGCTGAGCTACGGTCTTTCTGTGTGAGCATCCCCTGTTTTGATTCTTAGGATAAAATAAAGAGTGGAAGTAAGCAGGAGGAGCAAAAGAGCAATCGATTAAGTAGGTGATGAAATCAGAGTGATAAAAAAGAGGAAGTAAAAGTAGGAAGTTAAGATGAAACCAGAGATAGGCCGGGGATTTAGCTCAGCAGTTTGGTGGCCTGCCTTGCAAGCGCAAGGACCCGAGTTCAATCCCCAGTACCAAAAAAAAAAAATGAAACCAGAGATAAAGTAAGGGCAGGATATGCGATGCAAGGTCTTCTGTCACCATCTGTGGCCCATGGGTTTGGCTCTGAGCAGCCTTGATGGCTGCCAGAGCAAACAAATGCAGACTGTGAAAAGCCCTGCTGCACCCCAGGGCTCGGTCTCCTGTGGGCCTCTTGCGGGGGACAAGGCACGCTGGTTAGTGCGGTACTCAAGGTAAACAGTCCTCCCAGCTCGGCAGCACAGAGTCTTCCAAACTGTTGGAGCAGCAGATTTTATCAAATTCCCTTTCCAAGGGCTGGATATTTATCTCAGTGGTCCTGCTGCCTGCCTCACAAGCGCAAGGTCCTGAGTTCGATCCGTGGTACCAAAGGGGAAAAAAATCCCTTTCCAAGAACCTAAAGCAGCAAAGCGGAGCTGCCCTGTTGAAATGGGAGGGGTGCGGGGTCTGAGTCAGTGCCATTGATGTTGAGGGTGATGTCAAAGTGAAGTTCTGTAGAAGTGAGTCTTTCAGCACCCATGAGACTAGAAACAAAAAACTCAATTTAATTAGCCATGTTTTTTAAAACTGAGATGGCATATGACTGACTGTAATCCCCACAGTGTGGGAGGCTGAGGCAGGAGGATCACAAATTCAGGCCCAGCCTGGGTAACTTAGTAAGATCCTGTCTTAAAATAAAATAAAATAAAATAAAATAAAGGCCAGGGATGTAGCTCAGTGTGAAGACCCTGGATTCAATCCGTAGTTCTGCTGAAACCCAACCAACCAACTAACAAATAAATAAACTATGGATCTAAAAGGTTCTTATGTCAAGTCCTTGAAATTTTCAGTAAGGTAAAGGAGAAAGGTTGGGAAATGTTTGTATTCTAGTGACATCAGGGTCCCAAGGACCAAATCAACAAATGATAAACAAAAATACCAAAAACAAAAGCCTATCAGTGGTGTTATGGCTTGTGTCTAGATGTCCCTCTCAAAGCCTCATGCAGTCATAGGTGGGGCTTTTCAGAGGCATCTGGCTCTAGAGTGTGTGATGCTAGGATCAAAGGTGTGTGATTATTAAATCAGTCCACTGATTGGTTTGGCAGAGTTCTAGGTGTGGACAATGGGAAAGCTCACCCTGGATGTGAGTGCTGCCCACCCAAAGGGTGTGTAACTTGGATAGAATATAAGGGACAGAAAGAGGGCTGCTGTGGCCACTTGCTGCTTGCTGCTTTTGCTGCTTTCTGCCTGCCATGGACTGTTTCTCCTCTGCTGTGCCCCCCTGCCATGCCACCCTGCCTGCAGTCAGATGACTATGGACTGAAAGCTCTACAAATGTGAGCCAGATGTAGCAAGTGCAGTGTGAGGGCCAGGCCAGAAATTTCAGAGTGGAGCTGTGGGGGCTGTGCAGATGCCCAGGCAACCTATGAGTTTCCAGTCCTGTGCCGTCTGATGTAACAGCCCATAGCCTCATGTAGCTATTTCATTATAACTGAAATAAAATCAAGGATTCAATTCCACTAGTTGGTATAGCCACAGATAGCTAGGCAACTGAAGGAGATAAAAATTAGCCAATCTGGAATATTGACTATTTTGAGTTACAGGAACTTGAAAAACAGCAGGTGCAAGAAGATTACGCTGATCTTTCTATTTCTTAAAAACAGGGTGAAAGTATGAAGTGAGAGACACCCTCCTTACATCCAGCAGCCATGTTCTTATGGCCAAGGGCAGGACACCACAGATGAGGGAAATCTGCACAGATATGCCCCATTTGACAAATCCTTCTTGTCTAGGGCACCTCTCCATCCAGTTAACTGCCCTAGCCCATTCCTCCTTTCCCTGTCACATTTTCACAACCTCCTGCTCAGTGTAACTCAGTATGTAAGTACTTGTCTCTAACTGTGTCTTTCGGTCTTGTCTTCATTTCCTCCTGCCACGTAAAACTTGGGTGACATAAGTTTGTTTTGTTTTTAGTTTGTATATTTTTCTTCTCTTATTTTGGTACCAGGGATTGAACTCAGGTCTTTGTGCTTGTGAGGCAGGTGGCAGAACCACTGAGCTAAATCCCTGGCCTTGTTTTTCTTCTCTTAATTCACCTTAAGTCAGTTTAATTCTTAGGCCCAAGTGAGAAACAGTAAAAGAGTAGAGGTAAGATTTTTGCCTTCCCCTCAGAGTCATATGGGACAGCACAGAATTTCCACCATTGCAGAATGTTCTAGAAACATCTCCAGCCTAGACTCTAGAGTCTTCCTAATCAAAGTGATTCATAAACCAGCAGCAGTGATAGTAGCTTGGAGTTGTGGAAATGTAGAGCCCCAAACCCTTTGCCCACTTCTTCTGAATTATAATCTGCACCTGAACTAGATCTCAGGGGTGTCAGAATTTTTTTTTTCTTTTTTTGATACTGGGGATCAAACTCGGGTCCTTGCACTTGTGAGGCAGGTGGCGGCACCACTGAGCTAAATTCCCGGCCCTCAGAATTTGAAAGGCTGTGGCCTGTGACACCAGGTGGGTTCTACAAAGCTGAGTGGGAAGGGAATGGATACAAGACTTAAGCTCCAGACATGAGAAAGCCCTAAGCTCCCAGGTATCAGCTGTTCTTTGGGTCTGAAGAAAACAGATAGAAGATCAGGCCTCATCCCACCATGGCCACCAGTCTTCCCTGCAGAAGGCAACTTCATGGCACTTGTCAGGTGTTGGAGGTTAGAAAGTTCCGCTGAAGTCTTACACTCTTTGTCCTGGTCCCTGAGACACAGTCAGCTTTAATCTGCTTTGTCCTTTGTACAAATGTTTGAATGCGGCTTCTTTACTCCTCTGACCGCACTCCCCTGCAAGTGAAGGAGACCAGCTCAGACTCTTCTGTGTCCAGGACATTTTCCTTGGATGCTGTCATTCTGGATAGCCAGAAGCCAATTCCCTTAGGGAGAGGTGGGCTTGGGTTCAGCAGAATGCTGGAGAGTTTGAACTATCGAGCCCCTCCCCCGCACAGTGCCACCAGAATTTTGCTGGCATTGTGCCCTCCGGTCCAGGTCATGAGGAACAAGTGTTTCGCCACCTTGAGATATGGAGAACCCCTGCTGTTAGGGCCTCACATCCAGTCGGCTCTGGTCTGCTGCCCCTGCCATCGGTGGAGTGCAGTGGGGCACACCCTGCTCCCTGGATAGACCAACATCCTTCCCTTTACCCACCCGTTCTGATTTCAGATCCTTCACACATGCCTTGACACAAGAGAGCTTTAGAACTTTGTTCTTTTTACTATC